ATCAGTTTTTGCTGGCCTTAAAGCTGACCAAACCATGATGTTTATTCTTGAACATGAATCAATTTTTGTTTCTTCCAAGGAGACTTACATTCTGTGGGAAAGTATTGTTAAATGGAAACATAGAGATATTTCCAAAGATGGATCTCGTTATGGATCAAATTATGCAAAATGGAGCTGCATCAGTGGTGATGTGAAGCAACTAATACGTGGTGAAAGGGAGTATTTTATGAAGCACAATATATACTTGGTAATGAAGACATCTACAAATGAGAACGAGGACTTATGGTCTTATATGTGGAGCATGCTCAAGGAACTATGTGTAGCTGAGTTTGAAGTGGCAACAAAGACAGTGAAGAAGAGTTTTGAAGGGCTGTGTAATCACGAGAAGAAACGCAAGCTGCTGTCTCTTGAGCATCTTGGTGCTGCCATATTCTATCAGTCCAATGAAGAGGGTTCTATTAAATTTTGTTGGAAAGAACATCCTCTAGACAAATCTTCAAAAGGGCATGCAGACTTTACTTCACTATGGGGAGGAACTACTACAACCACCATATGTTACTTAACTTCTCAGGTCTGGAACTTTGTATCCAAAGCTTATTTTTCAAAGGCTTTTCAAGATAGATGAGTACACCTATTGGAAGTGGTTCGTGAATAGCATGACCTTTGGAGAAGCATCTGGTGCAAAATTCTCATCCTTGAGGACAAGGGTGTTCTCAATAGGGGATTATTGTTATAGGATTATTAGCTGGTTCAATATACTCCGGTTTAATAGTTTCATATCTGCATTTCGGTTTACTTGTTTGGTTTAGAACAAACACTTATATGTATGCATTAACCCTATTATGGGAATCTAATCAATCAAACACAGTTATCGTCTTCTCCTCTTACTCTCTCTCTCCTCTCGAGGCATCTCCTCTAGAGCCCCCAAAACTCAATGGCAAAATCTCTTATGGGCTCCATAAATCCCATATGCCCTCAATTCATTAACTTTATACGGATTGACCATTTTGCCTTTACTGAGCTGGAATAAAAACTTAATCAATTTGATTGGGTTAGATTGGGTTGGTTTAAGTGAGTGGTTTGTTCGGTTGGTATGAGTAATGGTTTTAGTTTTGGTTTCGGTTCACAGTTTGGTTTGTGATTCAATTGAATTAGAATATCAAAAAACTGAAGTTAAAAGAATTAAAAAACAAAATAGAGCTCATCGAGCTTGCTCGTAGCTTTCCCGGAGCTCAGCTTCCCACACCTCGACGAAGCTGTCAACGTCGATTAGTTTACGGCGACCGTGACAGACTTCAGCGTTTTCACCGGCGAGAACTCCTTGGATAGAAATAGGAATTAGGACTTTTAATTGGATTAGATGAATTTGATTTGGTGCAAACACCTAGTGTTCTGGGTCGATTTGTAAATTAAATTGGTATACAATGGAAGTATGTGGTTGAATGTATCGAATTGAATTGTGAGTAGGTTGGCAAAGAGATCTCATTATCTTCCTAGGGAAGACGATTGAACTAGGTAAAACTTAGTATAACTAGTAGAACTGATGATTGTAGTATACAAAGTAAAACTTAGTAAAACTAGTAGAACTAATGATTGTAGTATACCAGAGGTAGGTAAAACTCAGTATAACTGAAGATAACTCGATAGAACTAAGAACAATTTGTATAACGAAAACTTTATTATGTTGTTTGTGCAGGATACAATGGCGAAACATGTGAGCGTATATTTCAAATTCAGAGGGCGCATGTATAGTGTAACCATGAAGACAATAGTGGATGAAATAAGTTTGGCAATGCTAGAAGAACGGGTGTATAAAAAGCTTGCTTTAGATGAAAGTATGGTGAAGCTGTCATTGTCATATAGACCGATGGTGGTTGGTTGTGAGCAACAGTTAACTATTTGTGATGATGAGGATTTGTATGTTTACCTAACAACCATTGATAGAGAGAAACGTAGATGTCTTTTGTTAGTGGAGGAGACAAGTAGATCGGATCAGCTAGAGAAGCTGTCTAGAGTGGGCAAAAGTTCATTTGGGATGAACTATGAAGTGCTGGAGGGAAATGTTGATGAAATTGGACCTAATGCCATAACTCTGTACGTAGAAGATGGGCAAGCAAATGCACAGAAAGAGGTGATGGAGGCAGAGATTGGTGATGATGATACAAGAGGAGATGATTTTATGGAGATGGACACCACTGCTGAGACGGACACCACTGCTGAGACAAACACCGCTGCTGAGACAAACACCGGTGGTGAGACAAACACCGCTGCTGAGACGGAGACCGGTGGTGAGACAAACACCGCTGTTGAGACAAAAACCGCTGGTGAGACAAACACCGCTGCTGAGATGGATACCAGTGTCGATATGGCAGATAAGTATGTTGAGTAGCCACCTGTGGTAAAAATTAGTCATATTATAGAGAAATGGGAAGATGGAATGGGTATGAGTAAGCGTCAGGAAGTTCCAAGCAAGAAATCAATTCAAGAGGCTGTGGATAAAGGCGCTTTTGGTGAATGTGTTCGCTATGTTACTCAGAAATCGGATCACAAACGATTGGTGATAAAATGTGGTGTACCAAGCTGTAAATGGGGTTTGAGAGCTGCAAGGGTTTGAAATATAGAATTTTTTTCTATTAGGAGGTACACGGGTATGCATAAATGTTGTCGGACTACTCAAAGCAAAATCAGCAAGAGCAAGAGGAGAGGCTCAACAGAATTAGTTGCTTCTTTTTTGAATGAGGAATTTCGAGGAAAAGTGAGAACTCCTGTTCTGAAAGATATCATAGATCTGCTAAAGTTGAGACTTGGGGTAACAGTATCATACTCCACAGTATTGAGAGGGAAAAATCTAGCTATTTCTCATTTGCGTGGTAATTCAGAAGACTGGTATAGGATGCTTCCTAGCTACTTGTACATGTTAGAGCAGGTCAATTCAGAAACAAAAACAAGTTTGAAGTTGGATGAAGCTGGTAAGTTCAAGTACCTCATCATAGCGTTGGGAGCATGTATTGAAGAGATTGTGGTCATGAGGAAAGTGATAGTTCTGGATGCCACTTTTTTAAAGAACGGATATGGTGGTGTACTAGTATTTGCTAAAGCTCAAGATCCCATTCGTCACCATTATCCCCTCGCTATTGGTGTACTGGACGGTGAGAATAAAGCTAGTTGGAATTGGTTTTTCGAGATGCTCAAAAGTGTTATACCAGACTCTTCTGAATTAGTTTTTATGAGCGATAGAAACCCGAGCCTCATCATGGCTGTAGCTAATGTGTTTCCACAAGCTCACCATGGGCATTGTATATGACATTTGGCCCAGAATGTAAAAGGTCATGCTTGTAACACCAACAAAGCCATAGTCGGATGGAGATTTATGGAGTTAGCGAGGTGTTACACGATGGCAGAATTTGAGTATACGTATGCAAATTTTAAGGTGAGATATCCTTCGGCGTACAAGTATGTGGAGGAGTAGACTCAGAAAGACACTTGGGCAAGGGTATTTTTTCCACGTGACCGATACAACTTGGACACTAGCAACAGTGTGGATTCTATGAACAACACATTTAAGGACGCAATGAGGTATGCCTTAATACCAATGTTGGATACAATCATCAAACAACTCTCCGACTGGTTTAACGAGCATTGGAAGGACGCTGTGTCTGGATCGATTGATACCAATCTGGTTCCTCTTGTCGAGATACACTTGCACAAGCTATGGGCGAAAGCTGATAAAACACCAGTGCGTGAGTTAAATAGTTATGAGCTTGAGTTCGAGGTAACAAACAAGGAAGATGGGAAGCTATATTTGGTGAACTTGAGAGGGAAGAGTTCTACTTGCAAGGTGTATGATTATGAAAAGTATCCTTGTCTACACGGACTTGCTGCGTACTTGTATTTTCTTGACGTTCACGATGCTCCAGACCGTCGACGTTGTGAGAAAATAGAGTATCATGAGTTATGCACAAAATATTACTGGGCAGAACTTTGGGCACTGGCTTATTACAAGACCATCTATTCTATCCCGACATGTCTGATTGGAATGTCCCATATTATATCAAAGAGATTCAGGTCATACCTCCAGAGCACCTTAAGAAGGAGGTGAGGAAAACTGATAAGAAGAAGCCATCTGCGGGAGAAAGGCGTAAAAGAACACAAAACAAAAGGTGAGCAAGGCAAAATTTCGGTTTCAATTGGTTGTTGTTTGGAAGGCAAAGTTATGCGCCTAAATGAAGCAACATCTTTGGTTTCAATCTTACTTATGTTGCCTCCTTGTTTTGTAAAACTTTTGGATTTTAACTTATGTAAAACTATGGAATACTGCGACTTACCAGTATGTTTCAATTATATTTTATTGAATTTATGTTAGATCCATCAATTAAGAATTTTATTTGATATAACACAACCCTTGCTGAGACTTTCTCTTATAAAAATTAAAACGTCAACTTAAAACATATTTTAAATTAACATTTACGAAATAAGTCATTGTTTGAGACTTTCTCTTATACATTCCATTGTCTTTCCAATAACACTTTCTTAGTAACAACAACTTATAAAGGACTATTCTACGAAATGGTGATTTATAATATTTTATTGCACTAATCACGAATGATACATATGCAAATGGCTAAAAATGAAAAGTAAAACTGCTATAATTGATTAAAACTATAGGTAACACTAAAAACATTCAAAATCACGAAAAGTAGAACTATGAAGAACATTGGTAATACCACAAACTTCTGTAAAACTAATTGCAAGTTTTAGGAGAGAAAGTTTTGACGCCTAAAAAAATAAATTCAAAAAATTTCAGCTTTTTGGTCAAAAAAGCAGGTTTTCTCTCTGCTCTCTTTGTGTTGACGAGTCCTGACCTCTTTTCACTCACTCATTCCATTGTCTCTCTCTCTCTCTACCCTATCTTCTTAAATCCCTCCTCTCACTCTTCTCTCTCAATTTCATTTTCTTTCCCCCAAAATTACTCAACTGAGACCTTCCCTTTCCTTTTCATCATGCCTCATCCGTACCAGGAGATGAAGGATATGAAAAGGCTGAAGCAACATTACGATAGGCTAGGGTTCACTGTCGATGCACAATATGTAATTCCAACCTGTTGCCCATGTGGGGACGAAATCAAGCATGATGTTGTTTTGAACGCAAAGTATCCTTCATATTTTGACACCTTACCTGGGAGAAGGTACTTCACCTGCAAGTCATACGAGGTAATTTTTATCTCTGATTCAAACAATGTAATACTGAGTGAAACCGTGTTATACTGAGTGAAACTACCTTGAGTAATTCTGGGTGAAACCGTGTTATACTAAGTGAAACTATGAGTAATTCTGGATGAAACTGTGTTATACTGAGTGAAACTACGTTGAGTAATTATGGATGAAATTTTGTTATACTGAGTGAAAATATGTTGAACGTGCAAGACGATGGGCTGCACTTTCGTCAGCCATGGGCTTTCGGTGTTGAGAAGGAAGTCGATAAGTTAAGGAGGGAGGTGAATGATATGGCTAAAGAGATTACAAATCTTAAGAGGCTTGTCAATGAGCACAACTCAGGAGAATGAGTTTTGGCTCGCTTATGTGTGTATGTGTTTGCTTGAGATGACTCTCTCTGTTTCGGATAATACAAGTCTTTCTTTGTTAAGGCTTGTATGATAATAATGTGTCAAAACTTATGCTATGCCTCCTTATGTTATGTTTAAGTGTTTGTTAAACTCTATTATGGAATGTTTAGTGTTTAGCGATAACATAATTCATTATCCACAAACAAAAAAAAAACAACAAATTGAGGTCAAACAACCAACAAACCTGGCCCACTCGGTCCAACTCTCTCTCTTTTCTTTTAAAATCGTGTGTGAGGTAGGTAAAGTGTGAAACAACAAACAACACAACCAAATATCTCTCTCTCTTCTTCATTTCTTCATTTAACAGAGAAATTAGAGTTCTTGAAACATGAAAGCCGAAATATCATGTTCCCAGAGAAAGAGAGACTTCCTTCGTGGTATTCCATCACATTGGTGGTGTGGAAACCCCATCTCGGTATTTGTTTCGAAGACAACAAGGAATCCTTTTAAAACATTCTATCGTTGTGAAGTAGCTAGGATGGTATGTTTTGGCACTTTCGAAACTGAAGAAAATTTAATGTTTTAGTTTGTTTGCTTTGACTGGATAATGCTTGTTGCAGAGAGAGGGTTGTGCTCATCTCTTCACGTGGCTTGATGAAGCTTTGGTTGAAGAAGTTTCAATGGTTGAAGCAAGACAAACCACTGTTGAAGAAGATTTAGAAGCAATGGTTACTGCAGAGTTTAGTGGAACTAGTGGAACTCGTGAAGTCAGAAAGAACATTGTATGTGTAGCTGCTATTTCATGGCTTTGTTGTAAGTTTTGGTAATTGTCAATGGAAGTTGTCAATGTTTGTTGTAAGACTATGTCTATGGAACTATGTGTCTCGACTACTATTATGTTGTTTTAATTAATTTGTCTATTTTCTACTTTTCAAGACAATTCTCCAAAACAAACAAAGGCACTTAACTTGTCTAATTCAGAATCAACAAAAACATACAAACCCCCTTAACTTGTTTATGTTCTCCAGCTTACTTGACTCTTGACAAAACAACAAAAACATACAAAGACTTCACACTTAAACCCACTTCTTCACTTCTTTCTTGCTTTCTGTTTTTCTGCTTCCTTCACAAAAGCCTCTAGCGGTTCCAATCCCCCAACCAACTGATCAACCTTCTTCTCAACTCTCTTAATCACTGTCATCATTTTCTTCAGGGTCTTCATCACATCTCCCACTTGATTCGACTGCGCAGTTACGTCAACTCCATCTTGGGCCTCTACAGTATGTTCTATCTCTTCTTCCAATTTTTCCCGAGCCGCAACATCTTCATCGAACATGTCTTTGAAAAAGACCTTCATCCCTTCATCTATACGCTTATCCCAGCTATCGTCTGCTCGATCAGCCTCATCAACATCGTCTTCATCTTCCATAATATCATCCAAGAGATTGTCTTCATGTCGACTTGTGGTGGGGATGATGCTGTCAATATCCTGTAGTCAGAAAAAAATGTTCAAACTTTCAAAAGTTTTACCTTAGTAATACAACCATACTTCTACAATACTTGTTCAAACTCACCAAAGTTTTAGCTAAGTAATACCTTAGTTCTACCATACTTCTACAATACTTGTTCGAACTTAGTTAACATATACCTAAGTTATACCTAAGTTCTACCATACCACTGAATAACTCTATAACTTACGGTCTCGTGACCAAGTTCCTTGTTTATGAGTGCGAGTGGCATCCCTTTCATTCCATTCCGTTTGTATGTGTACCTGCACATCCTCGGACACTTCTCGTCAGCTCCGTCAACAAGTTCTCTAAACAGATTTCCCAACTTAGGAATTGCCTCGAATGCAAGAACCTACAAAACACAACATTTGAAAATACAATAACTGGTCAATCAAAACAAAATTTGAATTTCATTTTCTTCTCTTACTTACCTCTAGTGGAACACAAAAACCTGGTAGAGGCCATAATGTATTCTCTTTCATCACCCCCTCAAAAATGCTCCATTGTGTGAGAGATCTCCTTCAACATGGAAAGGTCTTGCAGAAGTCTAGATCATCAACGGCTCTCTGGAAAAATTCCAATACATTTGGAGCTCCTTTTCCAAGCTTCGTTTGCGCGCAAACGACACTTGCTAAGAAGAATAGAACCGCCATCTTCAGTCTGTCTCTATGGGATCCCATGTTCACCAGCTTCTCTTTCACATCTTCCAACCTTATCGGTTCTCATTCCTTGAAATGACGATTCACAAACTTTGTCCCACCACACTCCTTGTAGTCAAGAGGATATAGTTGCAACAGTTAAATCTGGATATCAATGCGTGTTCCCTCAGCCCATAACGGATGGGAACACCATTGACAATAAACCACACTTCTCTCCGCTTACTGCTTTTGGCTGTCCTCACCAACAAAATCCACCTACCCTGAAGCTTGTGGCTGCTCAGTCTTTTCATGTGGAAAACGTGTCTGAAATGAGGATGCTCCTCAAACCAGCTCTTCTCCACGTTAGATAGCTTCGGTTTCAGCTCCTCGAGGGTCTTAATTGCGTTTACTATCATACACCTTATCCCAACCTTGATTCTTTTCTTGTACTCAGATGGAGGAAATAACATTTTTTCTGGTCTGATGGCCTCAGTTTCCAGCAAAAAAATATCAATTTTAACATATTTATAGCACTCATACATCAAAACTCCAATTTATTATTCCTAATTTTTTCAGTATTACCGAGTCTTCCTATGTTTTCCTAGTTTTACATAATAATCTCATAGTCTCACCATGTTTACTTAGTATTACATACACTATTACTTAATATTCTATAGTTCTACAATAAAATTTTACACATCAAATTCTATTGATAATTTGTTACCTCTACATGCTCTGATACTGCTGAAGTCTGGGTCTCCGCGGTCACTTCTGTTGATTCCTGAACATTGTTTGCTACATCCTTTTCTCCTGCTTCCTCCTCTGATTCACCTTCTTCTTCTTGTTCTTCTTCTTTTTCTTCTTCTACTTGTTGTTCTTCTACTTCTTATTCTTCTTCTTCTTGTCCTTCTTCACCATCTACATTATCTTCAGAACAACCCATATCATTGTTTTCATCACACATTGTCTCATTCCTTTGGTTATCTTCATTTGAGACAGTTTCCTCGGAGGACTCCTCATTATCGTTCTGGGGAAGATCAGATTGAGCTCCACCTCCAATCGCATAATTGTGGGAACCGAAATTCACCTAGTGTCAATTAATCGTAAATAAGGAAACTTTGATTAAACCCTAAGTTTCCAGAGGACCCGGTTATCTGCAGAACCGCACAACGATAATTTAGAAAACGATGAACTTAAAATTAAAGTAAGAATGAACGAGATTGAGAGCAAGAAGGTTTTTATTCCGAATCTGCGTAAGAACTATTACAACGAGAGTGGCCTTAGCTGTGTGAGCCGTCGGCGAAATCCCTAACTCTAGAAGTCTAAGACCGAAAACCCTAGTTGAGACGCAGCTCGCTAACAGAAAACGGAAATATTCCTAAATGCTAAGTTTGGTGGTGAAAGCTCTGAAAATTGTCTCCCTTGCTTCTCCCCCATGCCTCTTGATTATATACTCTCTTCCTAGGCGGTTTAGTCTTTCCATTTCGCCTGGATTCGAGTTTATCGGGAATCTTTCATTTATCTCGATCCTTCTTTTTTTCACGCGGAAATCTTCTATTTATCTTAAAACTTGCCATTTATCTCCAAACTTGACATTTATCTTCATTCTGCGAGTAAATCATCCAAACGTTATCGTGTCTTCGGGTTCGATTTCGTTAAGATCACGAGATGGGCTCTATCACGTCTTAGGACCTTCCGGGCCGTTTTGCGATAAATCCGTTTTGCGACTTTGTACGAGATCGTTTTCTGATCCGATGCCGTTTTTAGTAAATTCCCCGAGTTAATCGTAAAGTTTAACTACGTTCGTTTCTCGGTTAATCGTTGCCGTTTTTACGATTCACTCGACGTTTTTATTAAAAACGCGTTTTTTACGATTTATGCGAAAAATCTCGAATAAATTGTATAGTTTAGGCAATGTTCGGTGTTTTGTTTAACCGTTGCCGTTTTATACGATTTCGTCGAGTTCTTTTTGAGAAAGCAAAGTTTTACGGTTTTTATTGTAAAACTCGAATGATAGGACAGATCAAGACGAAACGGGAGACATTTTGGCCGTGGTTCGGAACACGATCGTGTCGAAGGACGTAAGCCTTGAACCGAGTATGCGGGAGATCGAGGCTCGGGATGGTCGGTTCGACGTACGGCAAGCCGAACCAGACCGGTTCAGCTCACCGTTTGGCTGTCGGCTGGCTTAGCTCGCCGTTGGGCGAGCTATTCGTGTCGGGACTAGCTCGCGTTTTACGGCGGTTTAGTTTTTTCGCAGTTTTGTGCTTAACTCGAAAGATCGTGTAATCGACGTTTGTTTCGTTTTTCGAGATAACGATCTTCCGACTTTTCTGCAGATTTCCTTTGTTCGGAAATCTCTTTTGGATTTATAAAACGATTTCTCGAGTTTTATAAAACGATTTATCGAGTTTTATTAAACGATTTCTCGAGTTTTATAAAACGTTTTCTCAAGTTTTATAAAACGTTTTCTCGAGTTTTATAAAACGATTTCTCGAGTTTTATAAAATGATTTCTCGAGTTTTATAAAACGATTTCTCGAGTTTTACCGGTTGCTCGTCGAACTTTTCTTCTTGGAAGAAAAATTTCTTCTATGTTCGTATTCACAGCGCGTCAGTCGAGGAGGATTGCATCCCATTTTTCACGACCGTGTGGGGTCGGAAAGGTATGTGATTCAAATTCATATGAATTTCCTCCTTCTTTTTTACTTATTCGCTTTCGTTTTCCGTAGAGACCAACCCTTTACCTCTGCATCTGGTGGATCTCCCGGTTATTACTGCCTCACTTAAACGCGGGGAAGTTGGCTAAGGCAGTTTCTCTCCACAGCGTGTCCACCATGCGGTTGCTCTCTTCCGATCTCGGCTTTTCGCGGATTCTCCGATTCATGAAGCGGATCCGTTCATAGGAGAACTTATCCCGTACGTTCCTTCCATGAGGAGGGGTAAGTCGAGATCTCGAAAGGATAAACATTCGGTTGTTGAAGATGACCAATCCGAACGTACGGCCTCTCCCGACAATATTCTCAAGAAATTCCTTGACAGCCAAGCGGAACAAGGTGTTTGGGCGAATGCGGGAGGATCGTCGACCTCCAATTTTTCAGGCGTTGATCCTGATCAAGTTCCGGAGTTTACTAGAGGGTCCGAGCAAGCTAAAGATGTTCGTGTTTATATTTTTTGAGCGATATTATTACTGGACGATCTCGCTTATTCCTTTTCTTTGGCAGGGTTTCCTTGTCATGAGCCGGGACCCTAGACAGTCGTAGTGCTGAAGCTCGTCTTGCCGAGTTTCGAGCAGATATGGCCGAAAAAGAAGTTGCTCGCCTTCGGGTGGAGGTTAAGGCTAACCAAGCCGAAGGAATGGTTGAGAGGTAGATAGCTCGTGTGAGGAACGAGTGTGCAGTTAGCTCTTGCCGTGCCAGGGAACTTTCTAAACAAAGAATTTGTCGCGCTCGTCGTGCAGGCAAAAGAGAGATTGCTGAGGAGATGAAGGCCCGTCGTGAGCGATTTGCAATTGGTTATTCGGATGCTGAAGTTTTCCAACGGGTGCATGGTGATTATCGCGAATGTCGCGGTATTGTTCATGGGTTGTCTCTTACTCAGAACGAAAGGTATTCGTTTATTGAGGAATACTCCGGGCAGAGGAAGCATCTGGATCAGAGGAGAGACATGCAACCCGAACTTG